CCTGAAATACAATGCTGTCAATAGTAAAATAACATCCATCCATACGCAAGAAAGGCCAGTGCTAATAACCAAAGACCAGACTAATTATGGGATGATATCATGGACATCATACATGAAGAAAACAAAAGGTTGTTAAAAACACAGGAATGATAGTAAAAATAAAATGGATGTAATAAAAGACCCTGAAACTTGCTCTTGAACATAGAATAACTAAAGGGAATGGAAGAAATGATGAAGTTTAAAAGCTGAACAGAAGGTTTCAAAGGGTAGCTTGAGAAGACAGTACTGTAATGAACTATGCAAAGACATGGAGTTAGAAAACCAAAAGTGAAGAAGAACATGCTTAGCATTTCTCATACTGAAAGAACTGCAGAAAAATTTGAAGCCTCTACTTGAAATACTGGATTCTATGGACCAAATATTGCAGGAAGCATCAAAAGAAGATAGAAGGAATACACAGAGTCACTGTACCAAAAGAACTGGTTGACATTCAACCATTTCAGGAGGTAGCATATGATCAAGAATAGACAATATTTGGGTCCCCTCAATGCAAACCCCCTTCCAAGACTAAGACTCAACGGAAATACACGCTCTGATTGGTGACCCGATAGGGGGAAGTAGGGTAAAAGCAGCAATAAAGTGGCAAGCTAAGCCCTACAATGTTCGGTGGGCTTCTGTGGACCCAGTTGGGGACCTGGTTGGCAAGCAGTGTAAGGAGACCTGGGGACTCTTGGACCCAGAGTCAGTGGCATGGCCACGGAGGACTCGAGTGGAGAGTGGAGCTACCGGCTGATGGGAAGAGAGGGCATGTGCACAAGAATGCCCACACTTGCAGATGGTACCCACGTGACCTGGACCGGATGACTAGATGATCAGAGCTCAACCAGGAGAAGAAAGAAGAGGAAAAAAAAGAGTGATCTGATACAATCTGATGAACTTGACCTACACCTACAGATGCAGTGACTCAAAAGAAGGAACAAATCCTTACAGCAAGAAACATTCCTACCCCCTCCACACACCGAGTAGACAGAGATGGACAACTTGGACATTGGATACCCAGGTGGGGGTGGGGGTGGGGAACTACAAAGGCAAGAAGTGACTGGCTTACAAGCTTTCAAGAGGGAACCTAGAGCTAGGGGGCATGGAGGAAGGCAGAATCTCCAGTGAGTACTATCCAATCTGTCTAGGCGGAGCTGATGAAATGAAATACAGATGGGTAACTTGTGATACTGTAGTGAATAATGGTTATCAGGACTGATTATGAGGGTTGGAAATACAAAGGTAGACATTTTGTAGCAAGGAAGGGTGTGATTAATTCTCCAGTCTAGGAGCGGAGGTCTCTAGGACCATCAATGGAGAAGAGCCGAGAGCGGGACCCTACCCAGAGATGCCTGAGATAGAGACAGAGACAATGATGTGGAGTGATGAAGCGGCTGGGGATTTTGGATCCAGAGAGGGAGAGGGACTGTGGGCTGAAGACTTTGGGGGGTGGGGGGAAAGTGTAGGGGGCGGGTTTCTAGGTATACCCTTTGGTCGGTTGATGATGCATGGAGGGGATTGGAGCCATGGCAATGAAATGATATATGATGGAATGAATGTAAAACTAAAGTTCTCTCATGTAAACTATCATATAATTCACAATAAAACATTAAAAAAAAAAAAAAAAGAATAGACAACATTGTAGGAAGGAGTCCATGCTACACTGATGGCATTAACAAAAACCACAAGGCTCCAGGAATTGGTGGAATACCAGTTGAGATCTTTCAACAAATGGATGCAACACTAGAAGTGACCACTCTGCCAAGAAATTTGAAAGAACGATTTCAGCAGTACATCAACAGGGAACTGCCAGAAATTCAAGCTGGATTCAAAAGAAGACATGAAATGAGGGATATTGTTGCTGAGGTCAGATGGATCTTGGCTGAAAGCAGAGAATACTAGAAAAATGTTTAATTGACTAGGTAAAGGCATTTGACTATATGAATCATAACAAATTATGGATAACATTGTAAAGGATGGGAATTCCAAACAGTTTGGTGTGTTCATGCAGAACCTGTACCAAGAGGCACTCATTGGAACAGAACAAAGAGATACTGCATGGTTTAAAATCAGGATAGGTGTATTTGTCAAGATTGTATCCTTTTATCACACTTGTTCAATCTTGTAGACTGAGCAAATAATCTTAGAAGCTGAGTTATGTGAAGAAGAATGTAGCATCAGGATAAGAGGACGACTCAATGAACAACCTGCATTGTGCAGATGATACAGAATTACCATGTTGTTGTTGTCGTTAGGTGCCATTGAGTCAGTACCGACTCATAACGACCTTATGCACAGCAAAACAAAACACTGCCCAATCCTGGGCCAACCTCACTACTGTTGCCACGCTTGAGTCCATTTCGTTGGGGTCTTCCTCTTTTTCTCTGACCCTCCACCTTACCAAACATGGTATCCTTCTCCAGCAAATGATCTCTCCTGACAATATGTCCAAAGTACAAGAGATAAAGTTTGGCCATCTTGGCCTCCAAAGAGCACTTTGGCTGCACTTCTTCCAAAACGGATCTAAGAATTACCATATACCCTGCAAATCCAGTCCTAAGTATACCAAGATACTTGAAAGCAGGACCCAAACAGATACTTATATGCAAGTGTTCATTGCAGCCCTATTCTTAATAGCCAAAAGATGGGAAACAACCAGAAATTCTGTCATCAGATGAGTAGATAAACAATGTGGTCTATTCATATAATGAAATATTTCTCAACTGTAAAGTAAAGTGAAGTTGTCATATGTGCTACGACATGGATAAACCTTGGAAATATTATGCTAAATGAAATAATAAAGTGAATCACAAAATAACAAGTATTCTATGACACCATTATTATAAAAAGTCAAAAAAAAAAAAAAAGGTTTTCATACTAAAAGAAACATTCTTTAATGATTACCAGGGGTGGGAGGGGTTTTTTGGGTTTTTTTTTAAGGACACATATTGTATGGTTTCACTTACAGGAACTATCTAGAATTTGACAAATGTAGTGCTATGGGTTAAGCACTAGACTGTGAATACAAGGTTAGCCGTTCAAACTCACCAGCTGCCTTTGGGAAGCCCTATACAGGTCTCCGAAGGCACTTAACAAAAACATAGAGACCAAAGTTTATTAGTGATTATGAGGAGTTGAGAGGGAGAAGGCAAAAGGGAGTTGTTGCTTAGGTGATACTGAGTTTCTGCTAGAGTAATGAAAAAACAATTGGAAATGGATAGTGGTAATGGTTATACAGCATTAAGACTGTAATTCATATCACTGAATTGTACATGTAAAAAATGTTGAAATAGCAAATGTTTGTTACATATATTTTTACCACAAAGAAAAGGCCTGACGGTTGCATGAAGTTGCTGCCCTCTGTGTCTATCAATCATACTGCTCTGGGCATTTCTGTCATAATACCTGGCACTTTAAAAATATCCAGATAACAGTTTAGGTGCCAGAAGTACTGCAGTGAGTAGGCTGGAGTTCAAAAACCTATGAGAGCAGAACCCCTGTCAGACTTGCTTTGGCTCTACACTAGGTCCAGAATAGAGTTCAGTACCCTCAAAGAGCTCAGCAAAGCAGAAAAATCCATAAATATATTGCTGCTGTTGTTAAGAGCTGTCAAGTTGGTTCCAATTCATAGCAACCCTTTGTATGGTTTCCAGAGAGTGGCACTACAGGATAATACACTGTACAACAAAGTTGGTTTGAACCACAAGGTCATTGTTTCAAACTCACTAGCCACTCTTCAGAACCCTACGTAGATAGGAACCAACTCAACAGCACTTAACAACGACAACAATGTATATATGGATTTCCACTTTGCTGAGCTTTTTGAGGGTACTGAACTCTATTCTGGACCTAGTGTAGAGCCAAAGCAAGTCTGTCAGGGGCTCTGCTCTCATAGATCGTGAATTCCAGCTTATTCATTACTGTACTTCTGGCACCTACACTGATACCTGGCACGAGTTGGTCATTTAATCGAGGGTAAATAAACAATATTGCTACTAGATCTAGTTTCAGCTCCTACACGCATGGGGTTACTCCAAACATAGTGTGTATAAACATGTCTTTGCGATCAATAGATGGTTACAGACAAGTTCTCTTAGTATTGTCTTGTTAAAGAGCCTTCAAAGAAAGGTTCAATCAAAACTGGCTTCCAAGCAGGTTACTGGGTGAGTTCAATTCAAGGGAGAAGATCATCCCAGGAGGTAATGGCGTACCTGTTTTTTGGTACTCATTGTACATGTTTCGAAGAACACAGAATGATCATGGAAGCTTATTTTGAAGACATTTTAGAAAAATTGGAAAGTGCATTGGTGAGGAAAAGGCCAGGAAAGTTGCACTGAGAATTTTTTTTTCCCATCATGACAGTCATTCCCAACTTTCTTCAAGTAGAGCAAGAACTGTCCTACAAGAATTTCACTGAGAAACCTTATCCCATCCACCCTACAGCCTTCTTTTTTATCCCAACACTCAGAGAACATATGGAAAGGAACAGGATGCCAAAACATCTGTTTTAGACACAGTGTAATTTGAAGAGCATAGAATTCTGAGTAAGGGTTATCAAGATGGAAACACCACCCTTCAGAAGTGTATAGACCTAAACAGGACATATCAAAAATTAGTATTTTTACATTTTTGTTTAATAAAGGTCTCAATGATTTTGTAGCAGTACTTTTTTACGTGCCCTCGTACATATATGTTGGATAAATAAATGAAACAATTCATATCTGAAAATATCTTTGATACAACTTCTTGGCCTTGATGATCTCACACTCCTTGGCCAGATTTACCCTGCTGTTGGTCATTCTTAGACACACAGGTAAATATTGGCATAATCTTCACAGACCTGAAGTCTTCCTTAGCTATATTTTCTTGCTTTTACTTCTATTTTATAAACTCAAGAAAATTCAGAAGAGACTAGAAATATAAACAGTGTCAACGTGTTCATTTTCTCTCTTGCTTTACAGGCTGGAGTAAAAGGAACGTTGGGAAGATTAGTTGGAATTTTCGAGGTATGTGTTAAAATTGTTGGTACAAGTGTTGTATTAGTAACCACATATATTTTAATTTAGGAAAGATGCCATTTCTGTTTCAGCAAGTTTTTTAACAAAGAATAGTATGCGTTCCCTTTTTTTGAATCCCATCTTCTCCTCCAAAGAATTAGAATTGCTTGTAAGTATCATTTCCCCTCGTAGCTTCTCACCCTGTCTTTCCAAGAACCCAACTAGGGTAGATGAGTGTAGAGAATACAGAAAAATTGAATGTGAATAGTTATAACCAGGGAAGGAGCAATAAGGAAATAACCTCTGGTCCAAATTCAGAGGAAAGTAGAAGAAAGTGAGAAAGCAGGGAAGAGAGTAAACTGACCTGGGTTTGAAGACAAGGGGCAGGAATGTGAGATAGACCAAGCTTGTTTGGGTTAATAGGGCCACCCGAATCTGAGAGAGCTCCATGTGCCGCTGCTATCCACAGTCCACAGTCTCTTTTTTCTGTTGTTCTTGCTACTTGAATTGACATGGTACATTTTTCTTGAGCGGTCAAGCACTTTCTTGTTAAGTTGCTCTTAAGGTAAGGTAAGAGGACTTAAAAAAAAAAAGTATAAAGTCATGGCTTTAGAAACCCAGCCAAAGAGTACAGCCTCAGATTCAGGTGTGGCAGATTTAAATAGGCCATCCAACATAATTCCACATACGATATATGACAATGAAAAAAGGAATCTTTGTAGCTGTACTTTCTGAACCATATGCGTAAGAATAAATTTTAGCTCTCAAGGATAAACTTTTTCTGTTCTTCTCTCTTTGTCCTTTAGAACCAGGAGAGGAAGCATAGAACATATGTCTATGTGCTTATTGTCACAGAAGTGCTGGAAGATTGGGAAGACTCAGTCAACATTGGTAAGCCTCCAAAGAGCTCCCCACAGCCAAACCTGCTACATACAAGCAGAAACAATAGCCTGGTACAGAAAAGAAATAATAGAGGGATGTATTTAATCAAACTGTCTACTTTTGTAAACAAATGTTCTGCTAAAAAACCTTTACAAAAAAGAAAAGCCAAAATTCATTCTCTCCCTGCTTTCTCATCTGACCTGCCCACTGCCGTGGAGTCAGTTCTGACTCATAGTGACCCTCTAGAACAGAGTAGAACTGCTTCATATGGTTTCCAAAGCTGTTGTTCTGTGTAGAAGCAGATTACCTCGTCTCTTGTGGAGCAGCTAGTGGGTTTGATCCACCGACATTTTGGTTAGCAGCCCAGTGGTTAACCACTGCACCACCTAGAACCCACCCCCTTAAAAAAATATTAATAATTATAAGAGGGTCAACAAATCAAAACATAAAAATAAATATTTCTAAAATTAATTTAGATCTTCCCCAAAAGGGTTGTACTTCTGTACCTCCAAGGAGCAAAGGTTGATGAATGACCTTGACAATGCTAAGTCTGTTGCTGTCATGGGGGACCTGAGGCGAGAGCCAAACCATGGTCATCTTGTTCCTTGTGGTGTTCATTCCTATTGTTGGAGAAATCTGCGTTGATTTAATGGATTGAGTTCCTTCCTCCAGAGTCATTTAATAGAAACAGAGCATTGGGAAATAGTTTGCAATTTTATTCATGCCCCCCTTCATATACAACCAGCTTTCTCCTAAGAGCCACATCTTTTGATCTCTTAGGTCATATTGTGTGTATACCTTTTGAACCCAAAACTGAGTTGGCTTAATGGTTGATTCCTTATTTAACCTTTCACCTGTGAGGGAAAGTATATTCTAGAAAAGTGTAACATTAACTTAATTTCTATTATAAATTGATGTTGTTATTGTTATGAAGTGCTGTCGTGTCACTTCTGACTCATAGCGACCCTATATAGGGTTTCTGAGTGGTTGGTGGTTTGAACCACCAACCTTGGTGTTAGCAGTCCAGTGCTTATCCTATAGCACAGTGTAAATTGAACACCAGGACTCCAGACAGATAAAATTCACTTCCCCAAACCCCTCTCCTATTTGTTAACAATTCCACTGCCACCATGCCCTCATCATATTGTTAATCTGGGCAGTTCACATCCCTTCAGCTCTTACTAACTTTGTGATATAATAATTGTTGTTGTTAAGTGCCATCGAATTGATTCTGACTCATTGTGGCCCTGTAAAGGGTTTCTGAAGAGCAGCTGGTTAGTTTGAATTGCTGATATTGTAGTTTTCAGTTCAGTGCAGATCCTACAACACCACACCAGGAGTTCGATAGAATAACACAGTATTCTTAAATAAATAAATTCAGTGGTGGTTCATTGAAAACAGATACCCTGACATCCTGAAAAGAAAAAAGTGAAATGAATGTGATATAGCTCGTGTCCTAAAAGTACTCTTTTTCAGGTGGGATTCACATACTTGTGATACTAATTTTTAAGGTACTGTTGTTCTGTTAATACGCACACAAGTCTTTCACCAAGTAACCTTGCTTTTGAGAATTGGCCCTAAGGAAATAACCCCAAATAGAGAAATATGCCTATTGTGGGGGCCTTCCTCCAGGTGATCATCTGAGCATCACTCTTCCCAGTGGCAACTTGGGTCCTAATATACAGCTCAGTACATGAATTGAAGGATATTTATCTGATTGTGTTAAACACCTGTTAAAGTGCCGCCGAGTCAGTTCCAACTCATAGTGACCTAGTAGTATAGAGTTTCCAAGGAACAGCTAGCGAGTTTGAGCCACCAGCCTTGTGGTTCAAACTGACCTTGCGGTCTAGTGCTTATGCTACAGCACCAAACGTTGTTAAGTACCGAAGTGTCGATTCCAACTCACAGCAAATCTGTGTAGGGTTTCTGAGGAACAGCTGTTGAGCTTGAACAGCCAACCTTGCATGGTCTGGGTTTCATTTATATATGTATGAAGCGGCGAGATGAGAGGTGTCTGGAGACCAGGTCGATGGGGAGACGCTGCCTAGCGGGAAGAGACTGCAGGGGCCGGCCAGGCTGTCCTACTTAACCCTGACGCGAGAGTGCCGTCCTAGTCTAACCGTTGGATCTTGGCTTTGAGGCGATGTCGACCAACTTAGAGACCCACAAGCGCAGCCCAAAGCTTCTCACTACAACCCAGTCACCATCCGAGGATGGAAATCCCGCCTTTGAGCTGGACTTAAGGGCCCTAGCACAAGGAGATTCCTATTTAACAGCAACCACACATCTGCCACTCATCTGTCTGTCGTGCTGTGGTGGTTTGA